GTAAGATTGTCTCCTACGTTAGAGGTTCTTGCAGTTTCTAAATAAACGTCGAAAAACATATCTCATTTAAGCGGTTTTTTACCTGTATGTGGCTATGCATTGGGGAAGAAAACCCGATGGCTCAAAATTATAGAAATGTAGAATTTTCAGCACAAGAATGACATTGTGACGAGCTCATCCAACAGCACGTTACATTTTCAGGTCTATAAAAATTGGTTTATTTTTCACAGTTTTTGCACCGCCGCGATTTTTATCCATAATATCGACTTTTTCAAAAATAAATTTTAAGAACCGTTTCTTGTCATAATTCATTGGTTTGATTTTTGCTTTTGTGAAGCCTGTGTAACATAAAATATGTAGTAGAACCTTTAAAAGCCAAAATTTGCCTGGTGTGTAAAAATCTTGTTGCGAGTTGAAATCTTAATTATCAATTATTCCAGGTCCAACTATACGTTTTATAACAATACCATGTTAGAAGATTTGGAATTATGGGATCACAAAAAACGGCCACTTACGATGGGCGAATCATTTCAAGCAAAACATTCTACAATGTTAACGGAAACACAAGTGAGGCGGCGGATATCGAAGTAATGCTTTCTGGTCCTCCAAATAATGGCCCCACCCACGGAGAATTGTAAGTTTTCATGGAAATAGAAAAAGCATGTTAAATATCAAACATCAGAACGTTTAAGGTACACAAATGCATCATACACGGCTGTATTTGATGTTTTGAACACATATACGGACATTAGTGTGCCTTTAACATTATTGCAACCGAAATCTGTGGGAGAAATCACTTTAGCATCAGCAGATCCCAGAGATTTTCCTTCGATTAACCCGAAGTATTTTTCTGATGCCGACGACTTAGAAACGTTGTATAAAGCAGTAGAAATTGTTAGAAATTTAGAAAACACGACAGCATTTCAACGTTTGGGAATCGAACCCATCATTTTAGATCTTCCAGATTGTGACGCAGATTATGAAAAGCTTTCAAAAGATTGGTGGATTTGCAGCATTCAATATCTTACAATTGCCGTAAGTGTATTAAAAAAAACCGATTTTACTTTGGTAACAAAAAAGTGACGGTTTACGAGATATTCCGATGACTCCAGGCTGTACAACACTGTACAGAATTAAAAATACTCCTAATAGATTAAGAGAATGAAAATAATTATTTTCAGGGTCATCATGCGGTGGGAACCACCAGAATGGGAAATGACGCGAAAACTTCCGTAGTGAGTTCAGAACTCAAAGTTCATGGAACCAGCAATTTACGAGTGGTAGACGCTGGAGTAATTCCTGATTCTATTTCGGGCCACACGAGTACACCCGTAATGATGGTCGGGGAAAAAGCTGCGGAGTTAATTAAAAATGAACATGCATAAAAATGTTCAATATATCTTCGGAAAGTCCACTTTCGGGATGACAACTATAACACAAAAATAATGGGAAATTTTGTTCGATCAATTAAATTAAATGTGGCAATCTTGGGTTGAAAATAATAAGACTTCAGATAAGTTGCATTTCGATTTATTGATTTCCCTCGATGACCTCAAAACACTGACACCTTTTATCTTCCAAAGTGTAGAACCAGCGTGTCGAAGTTTTCACTCGTTCCAAGAATCATGTGATCTTGTAATGAGTTGGGGGATACTGAGGCATCTTTTTTCACCTGTGCGCTTTGAGCGCTGTGGGGGTTTCAAAATATTCAATGTATTATACGTGGTGTTGTTTTGTTGTTGGTTGGCCTCACACTGTAAGTGGGTTAAAGTTGGTGAGAGACTCTAAATAAATAAAATAAATTTGTTGGAAATGTCCGCTGTTAATCACTTTGGGCAAAAACCGGAAAGAACTACACTGAAATAACCGCTGTAAACTCTTAATCATGCAGCATCATATAAAATAAACTACCGCGCTTCCCTTAAGGATCATTCTTCTCTTCCCCTACTGTTTTCACATTTCCCTTCTAAGTTGGCGATTCATACGACACGAAGCATCGGTTACTAATTTCGTCCACTGTCTGAAAGAAACTGAAAATTCAAACAGCTTTTCGATAAAACGAACTACAGAACTAACATTTTGATATAATGATTTGCATGTTAGCCCTTTGGATGAGTCATTGCTGAGAGGTAAATGTGAAGAATCCATAAAACTTCAGATGGTTTTTGAGAAACTCACCTCAGAAACAGAAATACAATTTTTGTACCAAATGCACATGCTGAAGAATTAAGAATGAACAATTTCACACTTAATCAATTAAGAAATCAGCAAAAATCTTAGTTTTAAACGATAGAATAACAGAACAATAAAACGATATTTTCGTGCTATTCAGAGCCAAGGCATTAGTGAAAATTGGATGGAGCTTAGATGCATGACGGTAGAATGGAGAAATTATTGTCCAGGTAAGAACATATGCAAACCACCGAACAATGTTATCTGCATTTTTCTATAGCTTTGATCGCAACAAATTTACATTTTTTAAGCCAGAATTTATCATTGGATTGAGTCTATATAAACATCAAGATTGTAATAATATAGTATAGTAGATCAATATTAATATACGGGTACCGTGTCTATTTATATAATTTATATAACGACTATGATTTGGCACTCTTTAAATGTGATAATGATGTTTATTACCGCACTAGTGCTTTTTATAATTATTATCGTGTTCTCAATATCACATGGCAGACCATCGCTGGAACTCCTTATAAAATGTGCAATTTCAAGACACAACTATGACAATGATTCTGATGATAATAATCATTATAGTTGTAGATAAAATATTAATATAATTTATTATGCCATCTGCGTTTGACGATACTTGACTGATACTTTATGGTATTAGCTTTCTCGTAATCTGACCATGTAAGAGATTGTTTGACTTGATCTTCCGGCTTCTGAATTTAAATTTATAAACAATCTATTATGGGGTAACTTTACTGTAATGTACACGATAAAGTATAGGTATTTTAGGCGTTTTTTAACTTAATTAGGTGGCATACAGTTATATAATCTTGCATCTAAAGCGTCTAAAGCATCATGTTAAGTCTATTACGTTTCAAAACTACGGCTTGTAGAGGAGCGTCACTACTTCGTTTTCTGTCTTTTTGGCACGCAAATTTATGTGGAACAACATATTTTTTCATTCTTTTCTAAACCCCCATAATTTTCCATTCCATAAAATTTTCCCTGTCTTTTTAAAGCCGTGAAATAAAATGAACAAAAATTGCACATAATGAACCAAAGGTGAAACCTAAATCTAACGAACACACAGGGTTAAGAGCTCTATAAATAGTATTGCTTTTATGCGAACTTACATCGAAATAATCCTCACAGACATAAACGTTACTTTTGCAGAAAGATCG